AAAAAAAAAGAAAAAAGAATTGTTGCCGTTGAGTCGATTTTGACTCATGGTGACCATATATGTTGCACAGTCCAACTGCACTCCACAGGGTTTTCAAGGTTGTGACCTTTTGGAAGCAGGTTGCTAGGCCTGTCTTTTGAGCTCCCTCTGGGTGGGTTTGAGCTGCCAATCTTTTGATTAGTAGAACGCTTAATGGTTTGTGCCACCCAGGGACCCCTAAATTGGAGAATAGAGATAATAATTATGGGTGTAATTCTCCTTTCATCACCAACCAATTATGTTTGTGATTGTGCATATTACACAATTAGCTTTGCCATAAGTTAAAATTGACTCAACAGCAACTAACAATAACGAACAAGTGCCGACTTGGAATGAAAACCATCAGGTATTGAAAAATATCCTGGTTCACTGGCAAATATGAATATGTAATTTACTTTAATCATCTGAACGTCACTAATGACAATGAGGTACTTGAACTTAGTGATGATCAATAAGCAGTGCAATGGTTTTCCATAGATTAATTTCTTAACCATTATACAGAAGTGTGAGGTATGGGACAGGTTAAGTTTTGAGTTGCCATGAAATCACTGCAATCTGATCCTAGTCCTCAAATGAACATAATGCCAAAAGTTTCTTGGTGAAATACAACTCACTGTGAATTCTGATTACATTTCCTATTCTCTTCCAAAAAAGCAGAGAGGAAATTAAGTTATATTTGATTACATTACAAAAAATCCAATTGGTATCTGGGCAGTCATTACCATATCAGAAGCCAAATGGACATATTGTACAGGGTCAGGCTGTGGGCTGCTGGGCTTTGGCTCATGAACCTGCCCTCTTATTCTTTAGCCCAACAGTTTGTAAACATTAGGAGAGAGTTAAAAGAATACAAGTGTACCTATGTGTTTTCATTATGAATAAAACAAAATATCATATATGTGAAATAAGTGGAAAATTGCATCCCTTGAACTGTAAGTACAATTTGTTTCTTCCTTATAGTAATGTTACCAGTTTCAACTCATCAACTTTCTTAAACTTTATTCAGTGAAACCAACCAAGTCTATATGAGTGGATCAAAGTGTACAAATTTTCTACTTCAGCAGTTCTCAATCATTTTTGTTTTGTAGATCACTTTGTTAGTATAATAGAATATTAAAAAATAAATAAATAATTTCTCTTGAGGATTTTCTTAAGATGGAAATTTTTATTAAGTCAATCCAAAGTGAGGCGTAAGATTCTGCATATTTTAGGTAGTAATGTTGCTGCTAGGCCAGGGACCACACTTTGAGTAGCAGGGTAATAATAGTATGTGGCCTCTTAACTGTATCTGCCCCTATAGAATTTATTGGCAGGTGTGAGCTATTCTCAAACACTCAGTGTCTGATTTTTATTTCATATTATAAGTATATTATTAATTAGAATGCAAAGTATGGATTTTGTTGCCATCTCAGGTATGAAAAGAGTTAAGGATATCAGTTTGCAGATGATCTTAAGGAATGCTGCAGGTTACCAGTGTTTTCTAATCTTTACCTTAAGAAACATTTAACTAAATAACTAAACCAAGTAGAAAACACTGATGCTTAGGTCCCATCCTCAGAGATTCTGATTTTAACTTGTCTGGGGTGCAGCCCAGGCATCAATATTCTCTAGATGATTCACTTGTGCAGTCAAGTTGAGAAGCCTTGCTTGGAAGTTACAAAGCCAGACTAGTGTAGGGAAGATGTGCACACAACCCCTGTAGAGTATATAGGGCATCTTAGAGAGTGAATGTCTAATACAGGCAGTTGTGTTGCTTAACGGAGGCCTCCTGGGTGTTGTTTACATGGATAAGACAGTCACCACCCTCATCGTTACTCTTACTGATCTGGAAGTAGCACAAAGCCTAGAGCATGGCATGGAAAATGAACAGAGAATGAATAAGGAATGCATGTTTGTCATGACATTTAACTTAAATTTTTTTAGAACTGCTTAAATGGAAATAGGAGAAATGACATTAAACACTTTAAATCTGGGACATCAATAAACTCTGTACCCTAAGCCTCCAACAGGGCTGGTTGTGTATCTCAGGGTGTTGTTGTTATGTGCCATTGAGTCGCCCCGACTCATAGCGACCCCTCCTTGGGTTTCTGAGGCAATATCACTATGGAAGTAGATTGCCCCATCTTCCTTCCGAGGAGTGGCTGGTGGTTTGAATGGCCAGCCTTCTGGTTAGCAGTCAAGTGCCTTAGGCACTACATTACCAGAGCTCCTATCTCAGGGTAGAGGGCTCTTTCAGTTGGTACAATGCAGTGTCTGTGTGGTGACTGGGTAAGCCTATGCTTATAATGCTTTTCATCAAGTCTGAATTCATATATTAAAACAGCAGAAAAAATAAAAGTGAGAAAAATGGCACAGCAGCACTCACTGGTGAGATACAAACCTTGCATGGGCTGGGCAAAGGGGCCCCTGACAAACACTACTTAACCAAGTCAATACAGCCCAGTGTGCACTGGGACTGAGTCTCTATCTAGATGTCTCAGTTTGGATATGGTAAGTGTCGTACTAGAAAGTTAATTCTTGGCCTTGTCACAGGGAACAGACGCTTATAATGTTTCAAAACGCAATTGTTTTGTGAACCAGAGACCAAAGGCAAGAGACACCTGGTGAACAGTAAATATCTAGACCATAAGAAACTAAATCTGAACACCTTTATCAGAGAGGCACCACCCAGTTCGAGTGAACAAAAGATTCATGGTTTTCTTTTTCTCAAAGAGTTCGCTGCTGTTTGTGTTCTGTTTGTGATCTTCTTTCAGCTGATAGTGGCTTTTGGTTACAAACGCTTATCATTCTATCTTCTGCCTGCCTCACAGCTGTTTCAAGTTCCTACTGGCCACTGCCATGATCTCAATTTCAGTTCAGCCACTGTATCCCTGTGTCCTTACACAGACAACCCAGCTTGAGGTTGTTTTGTTTCTCCGGACGCTTCTTCTTTCCTTCAGGAAAAGGCTCGGGCAACAAAGGAGGAGCAATGCTGTCATGCCATTAAGAAGCTCCTGAACATGTAACAGACCTATCCCATGCCACAAAGAGCCCTTGTGGCCTGTTTATCTATAGGCTGGTGAAAGCCTAGGAAGTTACTTTGTTTGACTAGAGTAAAAAGCTTAAGATGATCTCAAACACAGATTTTCTTTCATTTAAAAAAAAAAAAAGATCAAAGGAAGAAAGTATAATCTCCAAATCTCATGTTCCTCCTTCTCTGGTGTCACCTCAGTAAATAGGCATTCAGCAAACTGTATGTAATTATTAACCAATGGATTTTTTTTTTAACTCTGAGTTTGTAATATTAATTTTTTTTTTTTAAATGTACTAATCTGCTTCTTGTTCAATAATACCAGAAATCAGTATTTTGTTTGACAGATGAGGCTTTCCAACGTAAGTAAAATTAGAGCACATGTTATGCATATGCATATTGGAAATCACGCAATCTAGTGTAAACATTTATACCACATTCTCAGGGGATGAAGATTTACTGACAGCAGTTGTGGCATAATCTTGCCAAGTAAGCACTGTAAACATTTGCTTGACAATTCAAGTTCCAAAATATCTAGCTGGTGAGAGTGTCCTTTTTGTGAGGAAACACTCATTTTTATTTATTCAGCGGTTTTAAATCAATCTGTAGGTGGTAGGGGGTGGAAAGTCCTGATGGAGCAGTTGTGGATTTACAGTAGGGAACACCGATACCTCTTCTGGGTATGTTTGTGTGTCTGTGTGTGGTGTGTGTATGTCTGTTTGTGTGTGGTGGCATGCTTATCTGTGTGTGATGTGTGTTATGTATGTGTGTGTGGTATCTGTGCACATCTGTGGTGTGTTTGTAAGTGACGTGCATGTGGTATCTCTGTGTGTTTGGTTGTGGGGTGTCTGTTTCTGTGTGATGATGTGTGTGTGTGTGTGTGGTGTGTTTGTGTGTGGTAGTGTGTTTGTGTGATGTGTGTGTTAGGGTATGTGGTATGTGTACTCCTTCTCATGGTATGTATCTGATGTAGGTGAGTGTGTCTATTGTATTGTTTATGAGTAGATTTGCCCATACATGTCATAGGTGATGATTGAGAAATTCTTGGTTTTAGACCTAGGCTTCAAGGTCTACCAGTAGATTTTTGCTTGCTGATTTGAGGGTCCCCTGTATATATATCAAAAGCCCACTGCCATTGAGTTGATTCTGACTCACAGCAACCCCCACTGGGTTTCTAAGGCTATAAATCTTTACAGAAGTAGATCACCCCATCTTCCTTATGCAGAGCAGCTGGTGGGTTTGAACCACTGACCTTCTGATTAGCAGCCAAATGCCTTATGATATCTATGTTGTTGTTGTTGTTATTTGCCGTTGAGTCGGCCCCGACTCATAGCGACCCCTCCTTGGGTTTCCGAGGCAGTATCACTACGGAAGTAGGATTGCCCAACCTTCCTTCCGAGGAGTGGCTGGTGGGTTTGAACCGCCAGCCTTCTGGTTAGCAGTCAAGTGCCTTAGGCACTATGCTACCAGAGCTCCTATGATATCTATACAGACCTTAAAAAATTAAGTCTTTGTTTCACTTAGCAAAATTGGATGACAACGTTGCTCAGATAATCTCAATACAGAATAACTGCAAGATGCTAAGATATTTAGATTGTGACATTAATTTTTTCTAGGTAAAAGCCAAACATTATTCCTGATATAAACTTGAGAATTGCAGGGGACCAGATTCTGTGAGAAGATGTTTTGTCCTGAGATACCAGGCTATATAAGAGACTTTTGACTGTGGGTGTTGTAATTAAGTCTTTACCCTGAAAACCTCACACCCTAATACTGGTTACTCTTGAAAATACTGTTTAATGAGAATGTGAATAATTGTTGCTCTACTGGAAACACTCATTCAAAACCTATTCAAGTATGACTCCCAACCAAGGAAAATGGTAAATTGGACATGTAAGTGATCACTCTCAAATTGATCCTAAATATATTTTGTAATTTCAGCTATACTTACAGGGACTGAAGGTTTCGCAAATTCTGTAGTGCTTCCATGGGTACTTGTCTTAGCTGATTATTTTGCAGCATACTGCACATGAAAACAAATAGACAAGGAAAAACATTAAATAAAATTAACAATAATTAACAATAACTACTGATAAATGCTTTGATTATTTATCAAACAAAATGACCAAAGAAGAACTGATACATTTGAAGTGTGGTATAGGTGAAGAGTATTGAATATATCACGACCAGAAGAAAGAAAGCTGTCTTGGAAGAAGTACAGCTGGAATGCTCCTCAGAAGTGAGGATGAGACTTTGTCTCTCATACTTTGCTCATGTTGGCAGAAGGGACCAGTCCCTGGAGAAGGATATTACGTTTGGTGAAGTAGAGTGTCAGTGAAAAAGAAGACCCTCAACAAGATGGATTGACAGTGGCTGCGACAATGAGCTCAAGCATAAAAATGATTGTGACAATGGGGCAGTGTTTCATCTGACTTGATGGCACCTAACAATGACAACAATAATCATCAGCAGGCATTGTTCTAGGTGTTAGGGAAACAGCAGGGAACCAGAGCCACAGATCTTGGGAAGCTTAAGTTCCTCAGAGAGCAACAGATAATTAAAAAATAAAATACAAAACATGAGACAAGTGATGAGTATGATGAATAAAAACAAACAAACAAAAATAAGAAGTAATGGGATAGATGGTAACCAAGAGTGAGATTTTTATTTTAAAGGTGGTCAGGGTAGGCTTCTCAGAGGAGGTGATATTTGAGCAGAGGTCAGAGTGGAGTTAGGGAGTAAGCCACTTGAATAGCTGGGAACTTACTGAAGAAAAGGGAAGATTAAGTGCAAAGGCCCTGAGGCCAGAGCTGGCTTGACTTGTTAAAGGAGCAAGAAAAGAGCCACACTTAAAGCCATCATGCTTAAAGCCTAAAGTCTTTATCATCACCTACAAGGCTCTTGGTTTGGTTACCTAGTACTGCTCTAACAGAAGATACCACAAATGGGATGGCATGAACAAACAGGAGTTTATTCTTAAAATTTTGGAGGCTTTAAGTCCGAGTTCAAAGTGCCAGGCTCTAGGGGCTGGGTGAAAGCCCCTTGACCTTGGGCTTCAGCTCTGCCTCCTACTCCCAGTCCACTGAAGCTGGAGGTTTTTCTTCACTCAGCTGCTGGCTGCTAAGGCTGATAAGCCCAAGGTTGACAAGTAAAAGGCACAGTCCTAATGTTACCAAACCACATGGCAGGCCATTAATTCAAATCCATTGAAAGTCCCAAGATTGCCAGAGCATGGCAGGCTGCTGAATGAAGACTTGGCTACATGCAGAGTTCAAGTGTGCCAAAAAGCTGGCAAACTTCCTCAAAGCTGCTTCTTATATACTGAAAGCAGACCACCTCTCTAAGGCAGCTACTCAGCTGCTCCAGTAGATTCCACCATGGAGTTAATTGCCAATCTCACCAGGGGAATAACTACAACCAGCTGCCCAGCCACTCAACCAGGCCCAGCCAAGTTGACATGCAACCTTAACTACCACAGCCCTCCATGAAATTGCTTTTGATTCTCTCTTCCAACCTCTTGACCTTATTCTATCATAGTTATGGTAGATCAAGTGTGATGATAAGCCCCAGCTGGAGGGTTTAGGTAGGAGAATGGAGTAATCTTTTTTTGTATTTTAAAGGATCACTTGGTGGCTCTATAGATGAGATAGAAGGGGAACAAGGATAGCAGTATGAGACTCTTAAAGATAGTCTCCTTCCTTGTGCACGCTGTATTTTGACATAAGTGAAACTAATTTTGCAAAGCATTTGTGTTTTTGCTCTCCTAGGTTGAACAGTTTGTTCAAAACACGAGGACTATAGAATTGAAACACCTGGCAACAATGAAATTAAAATATTTCACTGCCAGTGGAGAAATAGCATGGAAAAAATTTTCCCTTTAGATTCCTTACATTTTGCTACCTTATTCATAAATGTTTATAACACAGTAATTTTGTAGCACATTCCCTCCTCACCCCAAGTATTTCATGATTCATGTAAGCTTAAGGGAGAAGATTATTTCAGGAAAGACTATTTTTAGGAAATATTTGTGCTTATTAGTTCACAAACTTATATCTGGATTTCAGAAACAATTTGCCTGGTTCTCTCATCTCCACAACCAAGGTTTCTTTTCATCAGGTGACTGGCTGGGACCCAACCCCAGGTTTGTCTAACTCCAAAGGTTGACGTAGTTTCCACTGCACGACGCAGCATCTCTTGGGGGAATGTTTGCTGAATGTACAAACTCACAAGTTGTATGGTGCACAATATGGTTAAGAACTGGGGTTCTTAAAGCAAACTACCTCTTTCCTGCACTAGCTGTATGGCCTTAGGGATATCACCTAATCTTTCCATGCTTCAGTGATCTGTAATAATACAAATCCCACAAGGCTTTGTATGATGACTCAAAGAGGGAAAGAATATAAAACAATACCTGATACACAGTAAGCTGTCAATAAAGGTTAGCCATTATTACATAAATTAATTAAACCCCTTTTCAAAACTAGTGATAAGTGAGATTTAATCAGTGAGTTAGAGAAAAAGAAATTATGTCAGTGATTTTCAAACTTTAGAGTTTATCACAATCCATTGATGGGCTTGTTAAAAAATAGATTTCTGGGCTCCATCTCCAAAGTTTCTGGTTCGGTTGGTCTGCAGAGGAGGCCAAGGAATTTTTATTTCTAACCAGCTCCTCAATGACACCAGTGCTGCTAGGTAAGGCTCCACATGCTGAAATATTTTAGTACAATGTTGGGCTTGAAGACCAGGCCTGAGCTGTAGTCTTGGTGAATCTAAGCAAACCACTTAACTTCTCTGACCCTTGCTTTTTAATTTTTACTTTTTAAAAATTTGTATGATAGAAATAATATCATCTGATTGAAAAGATGTTTGAGGATTAAAATATAAAAGTTGTTGTTGTTGTTATGTGCCGTCGAGTCGGACCTGACTCATAGGCAACCCCTCCTTGGGTTTCTGAGGCAGTATCACTATGGAAGTAGATTGCCCCATCTTCCTTCCTAGGAGTAGCTGGTGGGTTTGAACCACCAGCCTTCTGGTTAGCAGTCAAGTACCTTAGGCACTACACTACCAGAGCTCCCAAATATAAAAGTATTTGTATATAAAAGTATATACTTTCATATATAAAAATATGAGGTTATATGCAACACAAGCTAATATGACATGAAATATATTTGGAGATAATAAAAATTACGATTTTCTTTTTATGTCTGTGATTCTGCTTTCAAATGAATACGGTTTTTCCATTTATATTAAATTATTTTACTCAAGTAATCAAGTTCATTATGGTAAACCTGGATCTCACTAAAACTTCATAAGTCAAGAGTCTGAAAATGAATTGGTTTCTTATTAACAAAACCAAGTTTTAGGGAGATTTCACACTTCACTTTCTAGTTGGGAAATTGGGAGATGTGCAGCTTGCATTACATATTTTCATAGCATATTTGAATATTGCAAGCTTATATCCCTATGCTACTTTATACCTTTACAAACAGTTTCAATATTTATCTAATTAGAATTTCACAAAAATATTTTCTAAGTCACTAATTCATTATGTGACATATAAATGATAAGATGCAGGCAATAAACTTAACTGAAGTCTTAACTTTGTAAGTAATATATTGCTGGTACAAAGTGTGTGTTGAATTTTCCTTCTATCCTTTGTTAACTAAACAATTAAACTCTTAAAACATGATCTTTCTAAAATATCTGGGAACTTTGAGGGAAGGATAAGAGGCATTTAAATAAGTGTCCCTTCATTGAATAATTGCAAACATATTCAGTTGTTTTATATATCTAGTTTCAGAAAATGGAACTTCCTAACAGAGCTGCAACAAAGATAACTTTAAAAGCTACCCTTCAGCTACTTCCTAGCAAATTAATTTTTCAACCACTTCTACTGGTAAAATCCCCAAAATATTATAATAGAAAAAGTCACCTAATTTGTCTTGATCTCTCCCTTGATAGTGAACACTTGTTTAATTACTTTCAAATGACAAAACAAGAGAGCAAATTATCTCCATTATATCCTTATAAGTCTCTAGTGAGTCAATTAGAAAATTCTGTTTCTGTTTTAAAAATCCCACTGGGAGACAAAACAAAGCGTTTATAGCACTATGGAGTGCAATTAAAACAGAACACATTCACAACATGACTGTTGATTTTTTTTGCAAAGATTTCCTTACTGAATGCATTGAATAAAAACAGAATGTACTGTGAACTGTAACAATCTGCTTCTGTAAAGATTACAGCCGTGGAAACCCTATGGGACAGTTCTACTCTGTCCCATAGAGTCATTATGAATTGCAATTGACTCTATGACACACACTACCACCACCACCCATAAACTGAATATGGGTGTAGGCACTTATCACTTCATTTTTATCATTCACATAGGGGTTGTTGTTGTTTCATATAGCCTCTCCATGCTATTTTAACTATGTATATTTTTGTTTGTTTGCTATCTTTTTGCTAACAGGTCTAAATAAGAACAGGGATAGAGAAACAGAAGAAGATGAAATAATTTGTTTAAAGAGGACTTTACTGACTTGATAAACCAAGATTGTTATTCTCTCTGGTGAATTGTCCTGTGTTTTAACATCAAGCAACTATCAAGACTCTGCTGTGTCTACATAGCAGTGGGAGGCCTCTGGCTAACTGTGACTTCCCTATGTGTAGTTCTACCCATCACCTCCATGTGGCTTTGGTTTTTGTGGTGGATGGCAGGAGAATGAGCTAAGCTTTGATGCAATGGCCTGCACAGGAAAGTGAATCCTTTTTGAGGACAGCGTGGCTCAGAAATCCATTGGACTGGGTCTTTTATAACACAAAACCAATGTTTTTTTTTTTTTTTATTAAGGCCAATCTTTACAGGGATAATAGTTTTAATATTAGTGATCTTGCAGATCTAGCATCAACAGGGTTTCAGACATAAAACAGCCCTAGCCAAGGATGGCTGTTGCTATTTATCTTGATGTACCCGATCCCTGTTATCCCTGTTATTTTTCTCTTCTTCTCCCCTATGCCTTC